GACTTGAGCTGAAACCGACAGTTAGATGCTTAACCGACTGAGCCACCCAGGCACCCCAGGAGTTCTCCATTTAATTTTAATTTTAATTTTAATTTTAATTTTAATTTTAATTTTAATTTTATTTGAGAGAGAGAGAGAGAGAGCATGAGCAGGGGAGGAGCAGAGAGAGAGGGAGAGAGAATCTTAAGCAGGCCCCATGCCCAGCATGGAGCCCAACTTGGGGCTCAATCTTATGACAGTGAGATCATGACCTGAACTGAAATCAAGAGTTGGATGCTTAACTGACTGAACTACCCAGGAACCCCTTGGCAGCCATTTTTAATACTAAGTAAATAATCTATGATAAAAAATTACTTCAGAAGATAAAAGCACAGGGATGGACGGGAAGAGAGGGTTTTCTAGGAAGTAGAGATGAAGGATGGTATGGAACATAGCAGAGTACCAGCCATAGAAATAGCTGGGACCTTTATCTGGTTTTTTCATTTATCTAACCGATGGGAGCTAGTCACATGATATGTTTTGTTTCCTTTACAGACCTTCATTCAAACCCAAACTTATAGGAATTACTACTGGATTGGATTATCATATAATCGAGGAGAAAGAAAATGGAAATGGATTGACAGTGACCCACTTTTGGGGATGTAAGTCTCTGGAATGAATGCATTCAAACTCCAACATTGGTGTTGGAATCAGGATGTATCTGTATCTAAAAAGAATCTTGTCTTGTTTCCCACAGTTTTCCCACAGAGGTCATTGGTAAGAACAAGCAGAATGATTAAGAAAATGTTTTAGGAAGTATAATTAAAAAGGAAGGGAAATATCATGCAGATTATTAACAAAATTATGATCCTAGGCACATGCTCAGACGTATGTGTTATGGGGCACACAAAATAAACCAAAATTATAAAGTACCTCATTCTGACTGAATTATAGTGATCCCTCCCACAATGACAGATGAGTATTCTGAGGATACCCCAAATTCATCTGACACACCTTTGTAGATGGTCCCTGAGTTATAATGGTTTGACTTATAATTTTTCTACTTTACAATAATGTGAAAGCAATATGCAGTAGAATTTGTACTTTGAATATTTCATATGATCTTTTTCTGGGCTGGTGATGTGCAGTATGATCTCTTGTGATGCTGGGAGCTGCGGCTCTCAGTCAGCCACGTGATCCCAGTCAGCCACGTGATCACAAGATCACCAACCCAGACACTTACAACCATCCTGTACCCATCCAACCATTCTGGTTTTCACTTTCACTATCAGATTCAACAAATCACTGGAGATACTCAACACTTGAGTATAAAATAGGCTTTGTGTTAGATGGTTTTGCCTAACTAAAGGCTAACATCGGTGTTCTGATCATATTTAAGGCATGCTAGGCTAACCTAGCAGGTTAGGTGTATTAAATGCATTTTTGACTTAGGATATTTTCGATACGTGTGAAATATTATCACATCATATGATCTGTATATTGTTAGTTATATTATTTATAGACATAAATATACATGAGTATACACACACACATGCATACATATACCTTCACTATGGTTTTATTTTGAATTTGTTTCTTTATGCAAGTAAGTGAGTAAGTAAGTGATCTCTATACCCAATACGGGGCTCAACCTCATGGCCCTGGTCGCATACTTTTCCAGCTGAGTCAGCTAGGCACCCTTAAAGTTTTATTTTGAAGTGCAGTGTTTTGTAAATGCTTGGGTTTATATTTAGTTATAATCTTCTTTTAAATTGCTCAATGATTTTTAAAAAATCTTAATTGTTACACTTTTGATTTCTAGGGGTTCTGTTTTAAGTTTTCAAATCTTGCTAGTTACTCATATTTTCAAACTGTCTTTGGAAAGATATCAAACATACGTGTTTATATTTGGTATCCAATAATTCTAATATTTGAAGTCTGTGGGTCTACTCTATTGTTTCTGCTTGCTTTTGTTCATGGTGTCATTTCCTTTGTAGTGTTTAGTGATTTTTGTTTTTCTTTTTGAGCTGCTGTGGAAATTATTTGGGGACTGAGAGGAAGGTTGCTTTTTCAAGGAATAATTAGCTGTTTTTGGATACCTTGGGGTATGGTGTATATGGGTCACTTTTAATTCTAAATTTAGGTCCTACAAGTAGTGTGATTTTGGGCTGCAAACTTACAAGAGATGTCATGAAGGAGATTACTTCAATATAGTCGTAGTGAGTACACTTCTAGGCAAAGACCTCAGAAGCATAGAACAGAAAGGCTCATGGGCCAAATTAAGATGCCTAAATTGTACAGTTAATCAAATCAATTTAAAACAAATAGCACTATGCAAGGGGAAAGAAATGGGACAGCTTTTCACAGTGGGCTGGAATGGGATCAATTGTCAAACTCAGGATAGGGTGCCAGCGGGTAAAAGGATCACTTGAATCCTGGTTTAAGTAATCTTCATATGCCCTGATTCTTCTGCATACCGCTTTCCTGATAATGGTGTGGTTTCTAGGACATCACTTGAGTTTTGACTAAGAGGGCCCACCAAACAGAAGGTTCTATGGCCAGCATACACATTTTCTCTATTGGGGAGAGGCAGGAACACGTAAGCCCAGCCACAACTGCAGCTTTTCAGTGAACCTGCTGAGCAGGTATGGATTTTATTTGGTTTTTTTAGGCAGAGGGCCAGTATGCATGTCATCATGGGAGGTGAGTTTAAGACCTCATGGATGTTGAGTATCTCTGTTCATAGTGTATATTTTGAGTGAGACATTTAGTGCTGCTTGGTTCTTTCTTCCTTTCCTATGCTCTATTTATTGTATATATACCTGACATGTCTCCAAGTTTACTGATTTACTTATCCATATATATTTAATACATCTTATGCATTCTGCCCATGCCTCACAAGATAGTTTCATTTATCTCCCTTCCTTCCTTCCTTCCTTCCTTCCTTCCTTCCTTCCTTCCTTCCTTCCTTCTTTCTTTCTTTTTCTTTCTTTCTTTCTTTCTTTCTTTCTTTCTTTCTTTCTTTCTTTCTTTCTTTCTTTCTTTTCTTTCTGTAAGAGATTTGGATATTCAAATACATAGCAAATACAAATTATATGAGGAATGGAAAGCAGGCTTACTGTATCGTGACTCCATAGCAATATTGCAAGGTAATTTTGCCTTCTAACAAAAATTCCCAGTGTAAAATAAAATGAGAGATTATTATGGGATCAAAAGGTTGATATTCTGTTTAATAGGCTAAGACCAAAAGAAAATCTTTTACTGATGAAGTTATAATATTTCCATTTTCTAGATATTTAGGCAATGGACTTGAAAAATTATAATTTATGTTATTGTCAGCTTCAGAATTAAACAGCTGAGCGTGTATGCTTTCTGTTCTACAGGCACTATGCATTCATGAATATTTCTGGGAGAGGACAATGTGCATTTTTATCTTCAACAAGAATAACAAATGCTGAGTGCTCTCAGATGTACAATTGTATCTGTGAGAAGACAATTGGTGATATTTTCTTTCCCTGCTTCAATAATTATAAGAAAAGATGAGTTAGAATTTTGTAATTTTTTTTGTTTGTTGCTGTGATAATTTGTGATCATTTACAAACTAATGTTTTTGTTTTTTTTGTTTTTTTTTAAATTTTTTTTTCAACGTTTATTTATTTTTGGGACAGAGAGAGACAGAGCATGAACGGGGGAGGGGCAGAGAGAGAGGGAGACACAGAATCGGAAACAGGCTCCAGGTTCTGAGCCATCAGCCCAGAGCCTGACGCGGGGCTCGAACTCACGGACCGCGAGATCGTGACCTGGCTGAAGTCGGACGCTTAACCGACTGCGCCACCCAGGCGCCCCCAAACTAATGTTTTTGATAGCAGGACTTAGTTTACTGTGGAAATGGAGATGAGTTAGAGAAGGAAGAAAATGTTCTTTTTGGACTATGATTTAAGAAATCAGATACCTGATCTTTTCTTGAGGAAGAGGGTAAGATTTTGTCTTTGGAGAGCAATTTCCCCTCTCTTTAATGGCCCTGAGAAATGCTCTCTTTCTATTTCCCTGAAGCAATTAGACATCTCTGATAGTCTAGTCTTTTCCTTATTAATAGGCTGGGTCTTTTAGGCTATTAAAGGCTGGGTCTTTCCTTATTAATAGGATGAATCATTTAAATAGCCTCGGCTTTGAGGGATGGCACGATTAAGAACTAAAAAATAGTTATCTAGCCTCCCCTCTCCCATCTAGATAATCACCTCTCATTAAAATGTTTTTCTTTTGCTATAATTTTATACTTCCTGAATAGTTGAAACAACAGTATAGAAACTCTCATGGGGCACCTGGGTGTCTGAGTTGGTTAAGCATCCGACCTTGGCTCAGGTCATGATCTCGTGGTTTGTGAGTTTGAGCCCGGCGTCAGGCTCTGTGCTGACAGCTCAGAGCCTGGAGCCTGCTTCAGATTCTGTATCTCCCTCTCTCTCTCTCTCTCTGCCCCTCTCCTGCTCACACTCTGTCTTTCTCTTTCTCAAAAATAAGTAAACATTAAAAAAATGAAAAAAAGCCCTTTCATATAGTCTTTGCACATTTACCATTTGTTAATATTTTGTTCTATCTGTACTTTATAGTCCTTCTCTCTCTCCCCTCCCCCCACCCTGCTCACCTGTTTGATAATAAATCGGGGTCATTATGTCCCTTTCCTAAATGTTTTATTAGAACTAGTACTTTGTCTTGTATAACCATAGTAAAATTATCAAAACCAAGAAATTTAGCATTGACAGAGTACTGTGTTTTCATCTATAACCCATATTCAAATTTGTCAACTATCCTGATTATATCATTTATAGGCATTTTTCCTGCACGTTTCAGGGTCATATGATACATTTAGTTGTGATGTATCCTTTTGGTTTTTTTTTTACATTTTATATTAGAGAGAGAGAGAGAGCGTGAGAGGGGGAGAGCCAGAGGGAGAGAGAGCAGGCTCCATGCTCAGTGCTGAGCCCAATGCAAGACGATCTCACGACCCTGGAATCATGACCTGAGCCAAAATCAAGAGTCAGTTGCTTAACTGACTGAACCCCCTTCTCAGGTGCCCCAGTTGTGATGTTTCTTTACTCTGGGAGAATTCCTCAGGGTTCTTTGTTTTCCCTGACCTTGACATTTTAAAATACAGCTTTACTGAGTTATTCTTTCATGCAATAAAACGCACCCATTTTAAGTCATGAGGTCAGTGGGTTTTTAACAAATGTATACATCTCTTAAACACCATCGGGTCAAGACATAGAACATTGAACATTTCTATCACCTGCAAAAGTTCCTTTCTTCCCTCTCACTACCCACTGGTTCCCAGACAACCAGTTACACATTCTGTCACTAAAGGATTAGTTTTGACTGTGAGAGAATTTCATAATCATGTACTCTTTCATGTATCAGTAGTTCATTCTTTTTTTTTTTTTTCTGAATCGTATTCCATTGTACCAATGTACCAGAGTTTATTCACCCACCTATGGATATTTGATGTAGTTCCTATTTTTGTCTATTACGAATAAACCTGTCATGAAAACTTTTGTATAAGTTTCTGTGTGGACATGTGTTTTCATTTTTTTTTAAGTTTTTTTATTCATTTTGAGAGAGAGAGAGAGCATCTGCACGTACTAGTGGGAGGGAGGCAGAGAGAGGAGAGAGAGAATCCTAAGCTGTGCTTACAGCACAGAGTCTGAGGCAGGGCTCCATCTCATGAACCATGAGATTATGACCTGATCTGAAATGAACAGTCTGACGTTCAATCTACTGAGCCACCCAGGTGCCCTCCTCCCCCCCTCCCCCCCTTTTAAGTTCATTTATTTATTTTGAGATTTTTTTTTTAATTTTTAAGTGTTTGTTTATTTTTGGGACAGAGACAGAGACAGAGTGTGAGCAGGGAGAGAGTGGGAGACACAGATTCTGAAGTAGGCTCCAGTCTCTGAGCTGTCAGCACAGAGCCCGACGTGGGGCTCGAACTCACAAACCATGAGATCATGACCTGAGCTGAAGTCAGACGCTCAACCGACTGAGCCACCCAGGCACCCCAATTTTGAGATCATTTTTTAAAATTATTAAATACCTAGGAGTTTGATATTTGAGTCCTATGGTAAGTGCATGTTTAATTTCATAAGAAACTTCTAGTTTGTTTTCCAGTGGTTGCAACATTTTACTTTCCCAGTAGCAACATATGAGAGTCCCAGTTGCTCCAGATCATTGCCAGTACTTGATACTATAAGTATTTTAAAATTTAGCCATTATGGGGCGCCTGGGTGGCTCAGTCGGTTGGGCGTCCGACTTCAGCTCAGGTCACGATCTCGCGGTCTGTGAGTTCGAGCCCCGCGTCGGGCTCTGGGCTGATGGCTCAGAGCCTGGAGCCTGTTTCCGATTCTGTGTCTCCCTCTCTCTCTCTGCCCCTCCCCCGTTCATGCTCTGTCTCTCTCTGTCCCCAAAATAAATAAACATTAAAAAAAAAATAAAATTTAGCCATTATGGTAGATGTGTAATGGTATCTCACTGTATTTTTTAATTTGCATTTCCCTGAAGACTAATAACATTGAGCATCTTCTCATGTGTTTTTTGGCCATTTGTAGATCTTCTTTTGTGAAGTGTCTGTTTAGTTTTTAGCCCATTGAAGTGTCCGTTAAGTCTTGTTTTAAGTTGGAGTTATGAGTGTTCTTTATGTAATTTGTATACAGATTATTTGTTAGATATATGTATTGCAATACTTTCAGTCTGTCTTCTCTTTTCATTTTCTTTTTTAAAAATGTTTATTTATTTTTGAGAGAGAGAGAGAGAGAGACAGAATGCGAGCGGGGGAGGGGCAGAGAGAGAGAGAGAGAGAGAGAGAGAGAGAGAGAGAAGGGGACACAATCTAAAGCAGGCTCCAGGCTCTGAGCTGTCAGCACAGAGCCTGATGTGGGGACGAACCCACAAACCGTGAGATCTTGACCTGAGCCGAAGTGGGATGCTCAACCGACTGAGCCACCCAGGGGCCCCTCTTTTCATTTTCTTAATTGTGTCTTCCCAGAAGCAAAAGTCTTACATTTTCGATGAAGCCTAATGTGTTTGTTTGTTTGTTTTTTCTTTTTTGGTGCTTTTTATGCCTTATCTAAGAAATCTTTGCCTACGTTAAAGTCACAGAGATTTTTCTCCAATGTTTTCTGCTAGGAGCTTTATAGTTTTGATTTATATGTTTAGTCTGTACTCATTTCATGTTAATTTTTGGGTGTGAGAAAGGGGTGAGGCTTATTATTATTGTTGTTTTTATTTTAATTCTCGTTAGTTTACATATAGTGTTGCATTAGTTTCAGGTATACAATATAGTAATGCAACACTTCTGTACCACACTCTGTGCTCCTCACAAGATGTGAACTCCTTAATCCCCATCACTTATTTAACCCATTCCCGCACCTTCCTTCCCCCTGCTAATCAGTTTCTTCTCTATCATTAAGAGGCTCTTTCTTGATTTATCTCTCCCTCCCTTATATTTTCCCTTTGCATTTTTGTTTTGTTTCTTAAATTCCACATATGAGTGAAATCATATGGTTTTGGTCTTTCTCTGACTGTTATTATTTTGCTTAGCGTGATGCACTCTAGCTCCATCCGAACCATTGCAAATAGCAAGATTTCATTCTTTTTTTATGGCTGTGAAAGTAGTATTCCATTTATCTGTCTATCTACCTATCTACCTACCTACCTATTATCTATCTACCTATCTATCTATCTATTATCTATCTATCTATCTATCATCTATCTATCATCTATCATCATCATCATCTCAACTTTATCTTTCCATTCATCAGTCAATGGACACTTGAGCTGCTTCCACAATTTAGCTATTGTAAATAATGTTGCTATAAACATAGAGGTGTGTGTACGCCTTTGGATTCGTGTTCTTGTACTCTTTGGGTAAATACCCAGTAGTGCAATTGCTGGGTCGTAGGGTAGTTCCTTTTTGAGGAACTTCCATGCTGTATTCCAAAGTGGCTGCACCAACTTGCATTCCCACCAACAGCGCAAAGGGGTTCCCTTTTCTCCACATCCTCGCCAACACCTGCTATTTCTCGTGTGTTGTAGATGTTAGCCATTCTGACAGGTGTGAGGTAATATCTCATTGTCGTTTTCATTTGTATTTTCCTGATGATCAGTCATGTTGAGGATCTTTTCATGAGTCTGTTGGCCATTTGTATGTCTTCTGTGGGAAAATGTCTATTCATGCTTTCTGTCCAATTTTAAACTGGATTATTCATTTTGGGGGTGTTGAGTTATAGAAGTTCTTTAAGTATTTTGGATACAAACCTTTATCAGATATGCCATTTGCAAATATCATCTCCCATTCTGTAGTTTGCCCTTAGTTTTGTTGATTGTTTCCTTCTCTGTGTAGAAACTTTTATTTTGACAAGGTCCCAGTAGTTCATTTTTGCTTTCGTTTCCCTTCCATCAGGAGACCTTTCTAGAGAAAATATGGTATGGCTGATGTCAGAGAAGTTACTGCCTGTGTTCTCTGGGATTTTTATGGTTTCATGTCTCACATTTAGGTTT